ATGTGTCAGAAAAAATTCTTCCCATAGATTTGATTTATGTTTCTTTTTGTTTGTTTGGTGTGTGTGTGTGTGTGTGTGTGTGTGTGTGTGTGTGTGTATTTCTCAGGGTTCATTTTTTAAAATTCCAGATATTGGATAGCTTTTCATCATCCTGAAAAATACATTTATTAGATACCTGAGTATATGATATAGAGGCATTATCTTTAGACTAAAAAAAAGCCAACCACTTGGGCTAATAGAAAATGACAATAATCACAATAGTAGTTAAGAATAGTTAAGTAGTAGTTAAGAATATTTCTGATGATATGCAGACAAACATAGTTAGAGAACACTGAAATTTTCAGTTATTCACTATATCATCTTCATTAAAATATTACTTCTAAATTATATAAATCATTTAGTAAAATTTGGTTTGAGCTATTCTTAATCAATGTGTTATTAACCTGTACATTAATGCATAGATATATACACTACATATCAATATCAAAAATGGAACGGACAGATTGCTGAGAACTTATAAAAATTAGCTAAATGAGATGTAAAATTCATAGAGATATGACAGTTTATAAAATTCTAAAAAAACTAAAAAGAGAAATACAAATAGTGAGATATTTTAAAGAAAATGCAACTTTGATTAAAAGCCCTCCTGACAAGAAAATCCTAGGTGTGGGTGTTGCCATGTGTGCTGTCTTCCAACATTGTAGGGAAGATGACCTCAGACCTCCCATTTTGTGAAATCAATGTGACCTTCAATCAACCAAACCTTAGAAAATCAGCAGCTTTCACATACTAAAGCATTAGAAATTTAATACAAAAATCTCCTCGCAAGCCAGAAAGACAGGTATCATTGCCAAGCCATCACCATTTAGTGGGTAACTGCCATGCATGTCACACAACCATGGTTTCTACCAAGAGACCTCAAGAAGGGAATGTATGACAGGATGATATAGGGTTCCAATGCTTTAATCGTAATAGGAACTAATTTCCATCTTGTGTTGAGATTGAAGTTGTAGTGAAAAACATAATTCTCTGACATTTGAGTTCCTCAGGTAATGAAGAGGAGCCCTGTATATGATTTAGGGAGAATTACAATATAAAGGTTAGCCATTTTGGGCCTACTAATTCTATAGTAGTAAAGTTGGCTAGAAGTTAGTGTGCCTTTCGTTTTACAATTTACCTGCTCACAGACAACATTAATTTGTTAAGTTTGAGAAGTTCATGTGGACATTCCTGTGTAGCACTTACTTCTGTAACAATCCTTTTAGAAGCAGAAAGAAAGTTTTGCTGTCTTGGGCTCACATTCATCAATGCTGGGAAGATATGTAATGCATTATTAAAACTTCCCCAGAACAATCCCTGTCTTGCCAAAGAGTTCACGAAAGAAAGAACCTGCCACCAGCCACCAGCTCTTGTGTCTAACCAAGAATGATGAAGAAACCTGAAAAATTAACTAGCAGTTCAAAATTTAATAGTAAAATATGTATATTCTTATTTTGAAATGACACTGATTGCTACCTTCTACAATTTACATAAACAAAATATAACACCATAAAGTAGTCAGTATGAGAGGTTCTTCTTGGCTTAATAAGAAGACAAAATGATTATAAATATAAATAGCATACCAGTGTGTGTCTGTTCATCTGAACATGTGTCACATGGCTAGTCTTTGGCTGAGTATGTCATCACATTTATGTTATGTCTGTGCATGTATGGGACACTGTGTACACCAGTAATAAGTACTTATTAACTATTTAACTAGTCAGAAACAACAATGACCCTGCTATAACTTCTGCATATATAGTGTTTCATCTTTCAAACACTTTCATACCTACAAAGTAACTGACATTTTCACAGAACCCTAATGTAACTCTCATATGCTTATGAATAGGTTATTTCTCTTAGAAATTTACTTTTTCTCTCATTTTCATTTGGGCAAGGGAGCTGGTTAAGCTTTGTAATCACAAAGGTTTTGTTTTATGATTTTGCCAATAAAAGGAGCTAAATGGTCTTCAAATCAGTAAGTAACCTATCAGGTTTAAAAACAGGTCATGCATGTGTGTCTTTGTACATCTGTGTGTGCATGCATGTATGTCTGTATGTGTAAGTCTCTCTCTGTGTATAGAAAATTTGATTTTAAGATTACAAAGTATTAACCAGAATATCTAGGAAAGACATAGCTTTGTTGCCATGTGTTTTATAAACCCTCTCCTTGTTCTGACAATGTCTTTGGTATTTAGGCATCTATGTGGTGATGTGCCCCACAACTCTCTATTCTCCCTAAAAACATGCAACAGCAGAATTTTTATTTTTTCTTTTTGAACAACTCTAATGGTCTAGAAAACCATGCATGAGTACAACATCTTATGTGTTGTGGAAACATAATTGTTTCAGGATTCCTTAGATAGTAGTGCTGTGTTAGGAAATGAGAATCTCTTCTTACTATTAAGGCACAAACAAGAGACAGTCCATCCATCCATCCTTCTACTCCCTCATCTCTGCAACCAACACATGCTTGGAAGATTAATATTGGAAAGTGCAAACATGCTGTATGGAGAGAAGCCTGCAAGATTCAAAGAAGTAAGTGAAGCTAGTAACTAGAAGGACTGGTTCCAACACCAATATCAAGGTCAATTTTAAAAAATTTCTTCCCAATTCACAAGAGTGGAGTCAGAATTGCAAGCAGGCTTTTAAAGCTGGCCTTACTGTCTCTTCTGTTCTGTCAGTCTCTCCTGTTCCTGTTGAAGATGTCCCACGGGAAGAGTGACAAATTAGGACAGTGACTTAACTTCTTCCTCAATGACATAACTGCAATTTTCCTCTATTCCCCAACTATACTTTTGTTCTTATTCAGTGTCTTTAATGCAAAGGGCAGATAGAGTTAGGGCTAGTATAGGGCTGGGCATTAACCACGAAAGTGTAACTGTTGCCTGGATCTACCCCCTGCCCAGCCATCTCACCTCCCATGCCTCCATGTCTCCCTGATTTTGTTGGAGCTTATGTCTCTCATTCAATGTAGCTTATATTGATCAGTATTTTCTTGTTGTAAAGACACACAGACAACTCTGTAAGTAATATTACTCCACAGACAGGGGTAGCAGGCTCCCTTGCAGGCACTGAAGAAGCTCAAGAAAAGATTATCCTAGATCAAGACTCAAATCAGAGGTAAAACTTAGGAAATTTTCTTCCCTTTTTTTTTCCCACATAGAAAACTTTGATGTGCCTTTATAAACCATCTTTGGATTTTACCCTCATTCCTTTAAAATTTGTCCAGTGAGCAATAAACATCAGGGCACGGAAAATCTTTGAAAAACAATAGAAAAAGAAGTGAAAATATGACAAAAACATAAACTTTAAATGCAGTATTTCTACAGTTTATTTTGGTGTTTATAAACCTTTTGTGAATTCATGCAGGCTTTATTTTTGTTTTAAGTAAACCCAGAAAATATTTTTATCTTGAATATTAAGATCTTTGCATAGTTTAATACTGAGTCAGGTGGATACTTGATCAAGAAATTACAATTGCAAAATTTTTATTATAAAACCTAAGCATGTATTGTGTTCTCTGCAGTTGAAGTCTTAAACCTGTAGCTAAAAGATTTTATAGATGGACACAGGAAGATGGTGATGGGGGAGGTCCTTCTGTGTATATGATTGTCTTATTGGTTGATACATAAAGTACTGTTGGCCAATAGTAAAACAAGATAGGTGGGACTAGGAGTCAAGGAGGATTCTGGGAAAGGTAGGAGAAAGAGCAGAGTTACCATGTGAGCCCGGGAAGACAGGATGCTTACCGCTGGCACCTGAAAAGTCTTATAAAATATATAGATTTTTGATAATTAAGACTGAGCTAGCAGATGAGAAATCCTAGTCACTGGCCAAGCAGCATTTGTACCTAATATAAGTCTCTGTGTGTTACTTGGGACCTTAATGTGGCAGCGGGCAGAACTTGGGCCACCTTCCGGAAAGCGCCCACATGGTAGCAGGACTAGGGCAGCTTGGCAAAAAGACTTATTGTTACAAGATGGCACTAGTGAACAATGTCTACTTCAAAGGAAAGTGGAAAACTCCAATAGAGAAGAAACTAAATGGGCTTTATCCTTCTCATGAGAGCTTAATCTCAGAATTTTCCATTGATTCATTAGCAAAATTCTCACCATGACTTGATTTGTCATCTATTACTATTTGTCTAATCTGGATAAACTGTTATGCTAAGATATAATCTACTGTTGGCTACTTAATACTCAAGGGACCATCTCCCCCATTTTGGCAGCCTTAACAGCCTAACATGTGCTTGCCTGACCTTGCCTTGGTCACTAGGAGGTCAGATGCCTGCCTCGTGACAAGGAACCAATCAGAAGTTAGCTGGTGGTGCTATGCTTTACAGCTCTGGGTGTGCTTTACTGACAAGTGCACAGCAATAATGTGCAAAGCATAGCAACCGCCCTGGGAGGGCCTATGGGCCATAACAACCAGTTGGCCAATCAACACAGGGCAAGTCCTCCAAGCCTGGAGGCACACCAATCCTGAGCTTGTGTGTACCCCTAAACACTCCCCTTACGATGCCCTATAAAATCTCTGCCCCGTGGCTTCTCAAGGTCTTTCCCAGCCATCCACCATGGTGGATGGATGAAAGGCCCGAGCTAACATGGGGTTAGCTCGTTAAACAGCTGCAATAAAACCTCTTGCTGTTTGAATCAAGCTTTCACCTCCACCTGGTGATTGGGGTTGCCATGGTCCTGGGCTGAAATCCTGGGAGCCTGAGCCTCTGGAGGTCTTTCAATACATCTCACCAGAGCAAACTTGGCTACTCCAGAGGCAATGAGTTTATAATGGAATGGATGACTAGAGAAAGAACAGCTTCAGAAAGCCACCAGGAAAGCAAAGGCCTCATGAAATGCATTCACTCATACACCTCTTTTGGGCCATGGCCACCATCCTCCAGTAAAGCTACCAGTGAAAGCACAAAAACATTAAGACAGCAGCGTGTTGCCTGGATGTACTCACAAGTCACCATGAATGAGTCCATAGATCTGCGGCATGTTCTGATGATAGATCCCTCTCAGAATGACAATGAGGAGAATCACCACAAAAGATGGAAGCCCCCAGCTCAGAAGGCAAAAGAGCAGGTATCGCCTTTCGGTGTGTTCATCATTCATCACCAGCACGTACCAGAAGTTCACAGACTAGGGAAGGAAACAATACAAGCAGGCGCTGGGTTAATGGTGCAAGACAAACTGCTGGTGTAGACATACAGAGTCACTCCACAACGAAGGGTGAAGACCAGCTTAATAAATACTTCGAGTTGGATTTTAGCTAAAGTATTCCTTTATTTTAGATAGTCAAGAAATGGGGGTATTTTTTAAAAAATTCTGGGGACATGAGGAAATATTTAGCTCAATGGCTTTTCCCCCCTATTCTGTTCTGTTCTGCCTTAAAATTTCTCATAGTCTATTGAGTGTCCTGTAAATAAGCTTCTGAAAAAGACACTATTATCTAAACCACCACCCACATTAACACATTCATGATGAGGATGAAGAAATAAATGCCTTCAGCCATTCAGGGATTTTGACAGTTTTTATACATGAGCACCTAATACATGAGAGTCCGGGCTCTATCTCAGTACTGTGTGTGTGTGTGTGTGTGTGTGTGTGTGTGTGTGTGTGTGTCACATGTGCACCTAATACATGAGAGGTCAGGCTCCATCTCAACTGTGTGTGTGGAGGGGAGGGAGGCACTACTGAATAAAAAACACAGTTAATAGATAAAAATGCCCCAAGCAAGAAAGACTATGGTCTGTTTTTTGTTTTGTCCATTTGTACTTTCTTGTTCATTCATTTGACTAATATTTACTAAGTACTTAGTAAATATCAGAGGTCAGGCTAGCCACCGAGGACACAGCATTGAAAGGGATGGGATGGTATTTACCATTTTGAATCAGATTCTAACAAGAGGGCATAAAATGAGTATGAGAAACAGTTATTTTATATTAAAACCATATCATGTATCTTCTAGTTCCTAGGATAAAAATATACAATGGACAAGTGCTTTGAGTTAAGAGGATGTAGAACAAACTGGATAGATGGAATGAGGAAAACAAAGCACATAAATATTATTATTGGTCCCAAATACCACATCAAGCTTGTGTCAAAGCCAAATCTAGAAGTTATATATCCCATCTTCTATTATTTTCTTTCCTCAAATGCCTTACTTCGTTGTCACTTAGTACAGTAGTGACACTGGCTGTCATATCATCCCATAATGTCTACTTCCTGCAAAAGTCATCATCCTCAAGTTATTATTGTGGAGTGTGGGTATAAATGAATTTCACACATGTGTTCCATGAGGTGGACCAACATTGAAAGTAATGGGCATTTGCAGTCTGTTTCCTTATGCATGCATGGCTATTGGAAAAATGAAGTGAGGGATAGTACATACAAAGTACTGAGCACACACATATTTGCCACTGGAAAATGTGATCAGATTCCTCAAATCTCCTAGAAGGATGTAAAAGAATAAATAACTTATGCCCCAAACTCTTAATGATACAGTATAAACCCTTTCAAAGTGGAAAATAAGTGTGTCTAATGCTTGTGGGAAGGCTTTTAGATGCTGTTTACTGAGGCTTCTGAGCAAGATCCTATCTGGACCATTTCAGCCTTGAGGGATTATACTAAGCTAAACTTGGGAAGAATAAAAATATTTGGTTCCTTGGAGATTTTTGTCTTTGAATTTATTCCCTTATCTTTAGGCACATCTGCATATATCTGTAATTATAAAGCGTGTTTTGAATTGTTCCTTATGCAAATTTGTTCTAACTCCTCTTTAACAGTGATTAAGCCCAAAGCTTGTTGTGTTTCCCCCACCACTTCCCCAACTTATGCACACCTCTTTCTACACTATGCACAGGGTGTAGTCTCAGACCCGTAGACTGCTGTTCACTGGGTGCTGGGGCATCACTGCTGGCTCTTAGAAGATGAAAAGTCACCCACATTAAAGATCACTACAGACTCACCAGTTGTGTGTCTATGTGCATCTCTATAGTGAGGTGAACCAACACTGCAGAAGGGGCAAGTGTCCAGTTGGTGGGGCATTAGTGAGTGGCTTCCATTTTGATTCAGCATGGTAACGTTTGGGGTTCTCTCTAATGTATGCTTTCAAACAGACGGTTATTTCTCAGCTAGGATAATTGAACCTTCCAGTACCATCTCAGCTGTTGTTAAACATTTGCCACAGTCTTAATTAGCTAAGCAGAAGGTGAGAAGATGAGGTCAGTGTTTTCTAGGTTTATCCACGAAGAGCTTCAGTAGTGTTGCTGGATTCTCAACAACCTGATTCAGGAAAGTTAGCTCCATGTCATCAACTTTGGCCAGTTTGAAAAAATGCAAATGCCTTCCTAACAGGATCCAATCACTGAAATATACTATGAAGAATGCATTTCTCAATATGTGCCATTTTGACATAGAATGGAAATATTATTTAAAATATTTTAATTACTCTAGACAATAATGTGGTCCACATATAAGATTTTCTCCAATTCATTCAAGTTTTCCTGAATCTTCTGTCTTTTTCTTTCTTTCTTTCTTTCTTTCTTTCTTTCTTTCTTTCTTTCTTTCTTTCTTCCTTCCTTCCTTTCTCTCTTCCTTCCTTCCTTCATTTCTTTCTTTTTCTTCCTTCCTTCCTTACTCTCTATTTTTCTCCCTCTTTATATAGAAGGTTTTAAAATGTTATTTTTACTTATTTGTATGTGTGTGCATAAATGTATGTGTGCCTGCAGAGGCCATAAGAGGGCATTCAATCCCTTGAAGTGGAGTTACTGGGTCCTGAGATATGAACTCTGGTCCCCTCAAGAGCAACAGATACTCTTAACCACATTGCCATCTCTCCAGCCCCTACTGCAAGACTTTTTGAAGCAGGGTCTAGTGTAGTGCAGGCTGACCTCAAACCTGCTACACACCAATGATGGTCTTGGATTACTCATCCTTCTGCCTCTACTTCCCAAGTACTGGTATTAAAGGCATGACATGAGAGTCACACTCGACTTTACATGTTATTTAAATATATTTAGGTAGTCATATTTTGAGATACACATCTAGGTCATGAACTCTCTTTCCTGAGCCCCGTCTCTCACTTCCCTGAACCATACACACTATTGGCTCAACAGCTCTGTGTGCCATACAACCCTGCTCAGCTGGCCACTGCTGGCTTTGTCAGGGATAGAAACCTGGACAGTCTGGAATAATTTCTTTCACTGAATCACCTTGTAATTCCATGATCATCTAAGCTGTCCATGAAAATAAGGGGAAATATGAACTGTAGCAGCTGTGCCATAAGCAATGTCTAGAGAGAAAGTGTGACTGCAGGGAAGGCTGGACAGACAAACTGCACTCACAGCTTTGGCTGAGTGAGTGATCCTATGTACTTACCATTGTCATGATTCAATATTGTTTCAATCAGTTTAACTTAGTTTACTTTTGTCTTCCAAAGTAACTGTGTGTGTGTGTGTGTGTGTGTGTGTGTGGGAGAGAGAGAGGGAGATGAAGCTAAAAGATGATCGAGTGAGCATTTAACTCTCTTCCTGTCCATACAATCATAGTTCCTCTGTTGTAACATAATGTAAGAGTATTGAAGTCTTCTGTTCTGGTACATGCTCTAAGCCCAGTACTGGCAAAATGGGAGGAGAAAAATCAGGAATTCAAGGTTACCCTCAGCTATGGAGCTAATTTTAGGATAGCTTGAGCTATATGTGACCTTGTATTAAATAAACAAATAACCCAAGACTAATTATATTTAAGATTTATTTCCATAGAATTTCATATAAACACTGATATTAGTATCTTATACATAAGACCTTATTTTTTAATCTTTCTACAACTTTCTATACTTTACATGTAGGTAGAAATCCATGCTCCAAGCATAAGTAAATATAAGTTTTTCCTCTGCCCATATTCTTTTATGGTAACATTTAATAATTAATGAGAGAGATTATTAGAGATTGTTAGTATATAAATTGCTGAAGCCTAACTATGGGCTGTGGCAGATTAATTTTTTGTATCTTGATACAAAACCAAATTTTATAATATCTGGTTAAACGCTTTACTTGTAACCTTTGTTGAGAAAATCAAATAACTGAAGATGCGCATATTTTGTATGGCTTTAACTGACTTCAAAAACCATTTTGTGATTTGAAATAGTTGTAAATTTCTGTGCACATATGTAAATATATGTGAGGTGCATGAGTATGCATGTCTGTGTGTACATGTGCATGTACTTTAAAACCTTGTTTCAGAAGGACTTTTAGAAGACTTGATTTTATTTAATCAAATTCCTTTTAAGAGGAATACAAGTTAACTAGTAAAAACTTAAAAATATTAAATGCAAAACACGAATTTAACCAATGTGTATTGAATAATAAATGAAGACCTCATGAGTTAATGTACCTTGATCTAATTTAATCCAAGCAATTTTGGTGCTGTATTATTGTAGTACTCTGTTTCTCTGTTTCTGTCTTTGTCTCTCTCTGTCTTCACCCCTTTCATAAGAACTACATTTCCAGAATTAGTAATTGAGATTGGGAAATTTTAAATTGATTCCATTTAAAATACAAAAAATTAACTAAAGAAGGATATTTAGATCAAATATACATAAAAATTAAAGACTACACACATTGGTTACATTATTATATATACAAGTATCTACACAAGAAAATCAAACACATACCTTATTGTTTTAGTTATCATAGATCAGAATTATTCATTAGTTCATTACTACATCATGTAACTGTCAGTATGCTAGCAAAATATAAAGGAGAAATGACACTTATTTTTGGTTAAATAGGCTATTTGAACTCCATAAATTTCATCTGAACAAAGATTGTATCCAGGGTATTGTATAATATATGATTATTATTTTACTAAGATCACTGAATTGATGCATAGCATTGCATGTAATCTGCAACCACACAAGCTACTATTTCTATCCATTACCATATGTTCTTAATCATTCATTTTAGATGCAAATCTCAGAAATGTTCCCACATGTCCTCCTTCCTCCTTTTTTTTTTTTAAAAATATTTATTGCATTAAAAGAATTGCAAGGCTTTTTGAGGCTTGATAATTCAGTATTTCCTGAGTATGTCATTTTTATCTTGGTAATTATCAGTCTGTTGTCTTCAATACTTTTGAAGTCCTGTCAAATTAAATCAATGACAAAGGAAAAGCATGGCTAATTTTAGCATTCCCCTTCCTGTTGTCATGTTCCATCACTCTCTACTAAGGAATTAAGAGCCTATGTGTTTATTTCTCCATAGTCAGGCTATATGGAGAAATTAAGGTACAAGATATAGAAGCTCAAGCATAAATTTAAGTGATTTCTGTCCTATTCTACCAATTTAAAAATATATTCATAAAAAAACTTTACCTTCAAGTTAAAACACTGAGTTTGAATTAAGCAGTGAATTTAGGAATGAGAGGAAGAGATTGTAGAGACAACACAAGATTCATATTCATGTCTTCTGTGATTGAAGCAGACTGCTATACAGTGATTTAACATAATAATGGTGGTGATCATAAAACTGAACCAAATGAATACCAAAGCAAAGTTACATTTCCATTCACCTCCACTGTACATGGCTATTGCAAACAATCACAGTTATTATTATACTTCTCCAATTAACCCATGATATGCTAATCCAACTGGAAGCATGTCTTGTGTGACCATACATAATAAAGGCATAATATTTCATAATTCTATGCATAATCTCTAAGCAAACAATATTGTTTATAATACAAAAAACTATCATTAACCATAATTCATTAGAGACTATAAAAAATAAAGAACAACTATATTGTAGCATAGAAAACAGTGTAGTTGAACACTGTGAAAGTAAAGATTTCCAAACATAAATATATACATACATTCACATAAAAGCATATACAATCACAAGGATACACATGTGTGCTTGTTTATAGATTTATAAATATTTGTCTATACATGGGGTATTTGTGGAGGCATACACAGGAAACCATTAGCAATGTTTACCTTTGAGCATGGCATTGGGGACAAAGCAAAACTGGCATATATACAAACTAGTAAGAAATAGATATACAATTGATTTGACGTCACTCTGAAGTGTTTTTGTTTTGTAATACTAGTATGTGCTATTTCCAAAATGAAAGACAATCAAAACAACTCGCCTGCAGCATAGAGGAAAGACATTCCAACATTTTAAATTCTCATTGTCAGTCTAACCTAGAGTAAACATGACCCTGGTGTCTTAAGGAAGTGGAAAATGATTTCAATGTTCACACTAAGTGATCTTACATGAAGAACAAACAGAAGTGCAGGACAATTATCCTTGGCCAAATAAGGAATTTGTGAGTTGTTTGTTTCAAAACTAACTAAGCAAACTTTGCTGTTGTCACATTCCCACCATGTGCTTTGTGACTTCCCAGTGGGAGAAAGGGAAGCCTGGAAAAGGGAGTAAGGTCACTGAGTGTGTGTGTGTGTGTGGGCTATGCTGAACTGCCTTTGGGGCTGGTGTGTGCCTCTCTTAAAATCAGCCTCTTTCCCCATACCAACCACTTTCCCTCTTCAAAGAAAGATACGAACTGTATTGGAAAAGTAGAGTATTCAATATAGTTCAAGACCTCTGCTATTTTTGCTACTTGTGTTAGCCTCACCAGCACCACAATGTGCATAGTGTGTAGTTTGGGCTGGGCACAGGGCCAACTTCCTGCATGGATTAACTAGTTTCATATTTTCACAGTTTTCAAAGATGGTGTGACTGTAACCTGATCTACAAGATAGGCTTAGGGAGGTTATATAACTTGTTTATCAATAAGAGGTTCCTTCGGGCAGTCTAAATGTAATCTAGGGTGTTGAAAACATGTGTTAGAAAATTAAAGTGAGGCTGTTTAAATTTGTTTATCCTGACATTGAAAATGTGATGCAAATAAACTAACCATCAGTCTGTTATTTTTAAATGTTTGTTTTAAGGACATTTTTATTATCTTTATTTATGTGTGTATTGATGTCTGTATATGTGAGGCTGTACACGTGCTGATGCCAGAGAACAACTTATTAGATGTAGTTCTTTCCTTCCGGCATGGGGGTCTCAGTGATTGAATTCTGGTTGTTAGTCTTGACAACAAGCATTTTGCCCACTGAGCCATTTTGCCAGCCCATCCTGATAATTCTGGTGTTCTTAACCCAGGGACTAAAGATTAATGATTAACACATTGTCATCATCTTACTCATATAATAGCCTCTGATTCCCTCCTGTACTGGTAAACAACATGAAGTAGAATCATCAGTGTGTCAACATTCATTGATTTTACTTTATGTGTGTCAATGTTTTGCCGACGTGCATGTCTGTATACTATGTGTGTGCTCTTTCCAGTTTTTAATCAAATTTGATTCATAGGACTGGACTAATACTAGCCTATCTTACTACATAGTGGTTATTAAGGTAGACTCAGATTTTGAAAAATGGTCTTAGCACACAGCATTTTATAAATGGAAAGTACAGGTTGGTAAAATGACAATGTCAGAACATAAAATAACTTAATAAAAGTAACCTACCTAAAACTGAAGTTATTGGATTTCCCCTTTGTGGTCACACCACAAACCATGAAGGATGTGTGGTGCACCATCTGAAATGCATTACATTTCACTGCCACTTGCAACCATTCCCCTAAACCATGAGCCGCACAGAAATGTAATTAGTCTACTAAATATGCATCAGCCACATCACATATCATTGTTCACCAGAAACATAGGCAAGGAATAAACTGATTCTCATTAGCTTTGGTTAAATCTTATATAGCATCCGGTTTAATACCCCCCAAAGCATGAACGCCATCTGAAATACATGTGAAATTCATTTCTCTGTTTGAATTTGCTTCACTAACTTGATTCACTATGTGTCTAGAAATAGTCTCTTTAGGTCCGACAGTATTATTGGCTGTGAATCCTCTTAACTTGAATGACATTTCCTTTCCTAATGTTTGATCCATTTGCTCTGATTCTGACAAATGCAGACCCCTGGAACAGGCTTCTCTCCCACAGCATATGTCCTGGGATTACAGACAGAGGCATCTTCCCAAACTCTCTCCAAGAGACTACCTTCTGACTCCTCACATTTGAGAATGGGAACTCCGAACGTGGTCTTGTGTCCCAAGGATGACAGTGCACTATAGACCATAATGCAGCCGCAGTTGCCTGCGCACTATTACTCTAGTCACACTTCACATTGCCACTGAGTTTATGTTAAAGTGAAATGCCTGCCATTCACATATTTCATCAGTGGTATCATCTTTGAAGTATGTAATCTGTAAGTACAAGTTCTTGTGTTGGTTCTTCTTGTATTGGTTTTACTGGGAATTCTCCAAAAGACAGCTTCCTGTTGTGACTCTCCTGTTATCTCTGTATATCCTCAGATCTGATAAGCAGCTTCCTGTGTTTTCATCTATGTCGTTAATCAGAAACTCAGAATATGTCAGGGACAGGCACAAAGACCTTCAGCCCATCCCTGCAGATTCAGTCCAGGCAGAGTGATAGCAACCTACACAGTCATCTATTAAAAACTTCATCTTAGATCAAATCCCAGAATAATCTGGCAATCAAAAGATCTAACAAATTTACTCTAAGTTCTGGAGATATTTCAGTTTTATGGTTATGGCTTAGGCTTATTTATAAACTAGATAACAGAGATGTTAAAGAAATGACATATTTTCCATGATTGGAGGTGCTAGAAGACTATAAAGCACTTCTAATCCTAGCAGTTAGAAATGATCACCTCTACATGCAGGTTCAAGAACACACCTGGGAGAGAGGTAATAGTTTGACTGAGATGTGCAGAGGGAGGGACAAACCCAGAGGCCTACTCCAAGAATCTCCCTCTGTAACTCTACATAGCTGCCACTTCTACTCTTTTTAATTATTGGAAACTCTTCCCTTCTTCACTGCTTCTAACTTCAGCATGGGAGGCCACTCTCTATCAGGTACTCACACCAGATGTGTGAACATAGGGACCACCATCTCCTGCATTCCTGACAACCAGTGTACACCCTAAAGTTCTGCATTAACGAAGATACCCAAAGCTGTTTATTTTGTCTCTATCGACACTTATCTATTTTGTTTTAGGATTTATTTATCTTACATATGTGAGGGCTCTGTCTGCACGTATGGTTATATGCCAGAAGAGGGCATCGGATCCCACTATGGATGGTATTGACTCATCCTGTGGCTGCTGAGAATTGAACACAGGACCCCTGGAAGAACAGCCAGTACTCTTAACTGCTGAGCCATCTCTCCAGCCCGTGACACTTGTCTATTTGGCAGGAATGTTCTGCCAATCTTCTGGTACAGTTAACACTAGTAAGTGGCATTCTCCAGTCACTCTTTCCTACCTCCAATTAACCATAAATAGGGGTATATTTCTAGTCTAAATTTAATCACAGCATTACTTTTCTTCAACCAACTCTATGATGATTCAGAGGAAACAATTCAAAGTTCTTATTCTACAGGGCCATCTGCCAAGTTTGTCTTCTACTGCTCTTTTGTTTTCAGTCCTACTAGATTTACCTCATTTCTCCAAACTGTGCTCTCTGGTGTTGCAAAGTTACTAGATATATTCTGCATGTATGCCCTGGAACAGTTGTAATGGCTTTATTGGAATTATTTCTACTTCAGTATGGAGAATATCAGGCACTAAAGATTGTCTCACCCAGGGTCATGGAGGGAAGCAGGGGTGAGGGAGAGAATGGGAAACCAACCTGAATGAGCATCCAGCTAAACTGGCACAGATACAGGTAATGTGCGACAGCAGCCACAGCCGAACAGCTCTCCTCGCTGAAGTGAGGGCTTGCATATGCAGACGCCAGGAACACAATCTGGAAGAAGCAGATAGTTCTATTTTTAAATTGTGCTAGATTAATGAAGACGGTCCAGAAAATCAGCCACTTTCTCATCTGAATCTATAATCGACTGAGTCAAAGGCAAGATTGGCCTGTTGCCTGACTCACGTAAGAGCCAACCTCAAGGGGCAGTGTGTGAACTTCTGTACTTCTAAGAACCAATAATGGATATAGAATTATGTTCTGTGTTGCTCAAAAGCTGTCAAGAGCAAATTCTCAAAGTAACCACACTCTTGTCACTGCCAGACCAAAACCAAAGCTTTGAAAGCTGTTCATTTCAGCTAGGTAGGGAAGAGAAAGCATCGTGGGAATGCCATTCCCAGCTAATGAAAACAGAGAGACTTTTATCTCATCTGCCACCTCTTGCCAGGTAGCAACATGCAGAACAAATGGGCTTCAAGTATATTTAAAATTTCAAGTCTCAAAACTACCTAAGTAGTGGGGTTTTAGCATCACCTTCAAGCCTGTGTTCTAAAGTTGCCTTTACAGGGAAGATGATTGTTTCCACACTGCTTGAATTGCATCTCTTGTTTTCTGTTTCCACACATATTTGAATCTTAACTCTTTTTTATAAAAAGAGTCCTCATCACCTTGTACCATACTGTGAAATCATCATCATTTCATTGACTAGAATATAATCTGCATAAAGGCAGATATTTTTTACACTTTTTTCATTGATGAATTTCAAACACAATATATTTGGCACCTGGTAGATATCAATCAACACTTGTTGAATAAATGATCAAATCAAGTGAAAGCTCATTTTGTATTCTTCCAAGATAAGATTAAATATCAAATATATTTAAGATAAGATATATCAAATCTTACGGTGGAAAATACAGATAGAAAAAGAACGATTGGAGCAGCAGTATAACACTATATATAACATCTGAGCAAATAAACCCTGTGTTTAATTTCCTCAACAGTAGGAGAAAAGTTGGCAAACAATAAATTGCAGCCCTTTTCTATCCTAAAATTCTAGAATTATTTATAAAAAATGAAGATTCCCAATTTAGTTTTCTGTTTATTTCATCCTGGGCTTGGCATCTTTAATACACACTGCTAAAACCAGCAAGTGCAAGCATTTAAAGTAGAAACTACAAACTCACCGTGCATTGTTTCTTAACAATCTAGCAAAAAGGAGTGCCCCCAAATAAGCAACAAACTCCCTTTGCCAGAGCACAGCACACAGGAGTTTTTGCATTATTAGGTTTCTTTCCCTAGAGCCGTGCAGACTTTCCTAGATTTCAGCTTCTATGTAACTTCCAAATTACAAATATATATATGTTGTATATATATATATATAATTACATTATATATATATAATTACATATATATAATATATATATATATATATAATTACAATATATATATATATATATATATATATATATATATAGTCCTTCATAAATACTAGGACTTGGCCTTAAAAAAATCCTCAGAAGAAAAATTCTATATGAGTTCCACCTCCAACCCCAGAATCATTGTGACAATTTGTCTTCGTTTTTAAGCACAGTGGCATCTCTTTCTAAGAAGTCTTTATAAATGTACCTACAATTTTATAGTTTCTTTACATTTAACCTGAACAGTTTGTTATTAAATAAAACCATGCAAATTTTAACTGTGAATGTATGTTTAGTTTTAACATTCTGTGAAACTGTAAATGGTATGCTAATTTAAATCTATTTTCCTAATATTTTTCATAGAAGGAATCAAATCACTGAAGGTTATTGTTTAAAACTGCCCCTGCTTCCAGAAGATAGATTTAACACCCCAAATTCCATTTACAGGGTGTATTATCTTAAGTTTTTTTAGATTTAAATCTGTCTTCCTAAGTTATAAGAACACCAGTATAGTTTTGTGAATCATAAAAGCTCTTTCAATCTGCTCTCTGAATATTGGGAATTACTTCTCATTGTGGGGAAGAACATTAGTCAGCAAGACAAAAATGAGCTGCCTCAACCTTTAACCAAGATGAGCTCAAAATACTTCAAAACCTTACATGTCATGTGAACAGACCTACCCCAGATAATTTATATAGATACTGAAATTAAATAAAGTAAAATAAAACATCTTCATGCATGAGTACCCACACAGAATCTTAAGACTCTATTACCCAAGAACAGATGGGCTATTAGCCCTGTTCTTTCCACAACACACTAAGAGACACCAGGATAAAGATTATTTTCCCAGCTGCCCTTGGATAGTTGAATACTGTAAAGCAAAAGAAGTGACTCTGCAAAGGTTCCCAGTTCCCTATGTGCCAACTTGTGCTATACCTGAATTCCTATTCCCTTTACAGAACTGTACTGGTCAAGAAGAGGACATATGATGCCAAAGGTGACTGTGTGCCAGCATGACACCATGTGCCATCCTGTGTGCATACGCATCAAACTTATCTGTGAATGCTGTCAAGTTATACTGCTTGCATCACAATTTAATAACTAACAAAAGAGGGTCCTTTGGGATAATTAACATGTTTTCAGATCATTAAACATGTTTTAGAGTCAAAATGGAATTCAGAATCTGGTGTTCATATTTTAAGACCATCAATTTAAGTCTTCCTAAAATGGCATGAGGTTATTTGCACAGCTAAACCAGGTACAAGTCTCATCTCAAACTGCTGAAATTCTATTGATTCTCAATTTGTATTAATTCATGGCTTACCACAGGTTCCTAACGGTAACTGAAAAGAATGCCAAATGGCATATTGGCCATTGCTATTCTCATCTCTATATTGTTATAACATATGTACATCATAACCGAAGGTAAAAGAAAATATAACCACCACAAGAGTGTCTTGTGGAATATTACTTTAACTATGTAAAGATGTGTTACATTTGTTTATGTTGTGGAATATTACTTTAACTATATAAAGGTGTGCTTCATTTGTTTAACTATGTAAAGATGTGTTGTTGTTCTACCTTGCCTGCCTAAGGCACCTGATTGATTTAATAAAAAGCTGAATGGCCAATAGCTAGTTAGTAGAGACTGGTGGGGTTGGTGAGCAGAGAGAATAAGTAGAATGAGGAATCTAGGCTCATGAAAGAAGAGAGAATGAAGGAGAAAGGGAGGTAGATGCCCAGGACCAGCCAGACAGGCAGCCACCAGAAAGACAGACACAGAGAAAGCAGGGAAGTAGGACACACAGAATGAAAGAAAGGTAAAGAGCACGAAGGCAAAACACAGATTAAGAGAAACAGGTTAATTTAGGTAAAAAAATAGCTAGCTAGAAAGAAGCCTAAAGTAAGGCCAAGCATTCATAACTAATAATAAGTCTCTGTGTCATGATTTGGGGGACTGGCAATCTGAGATAGTCTGACATATCAGTCATTTAAAGTGAAATAAAACTTTCTTCTGGTAGATGACAGCTCTACTGTGCCAGTGTGTGTGTGTCGGGGGGGGGTAGAAATATATGTGTCCCTGCTTGCTGCTAATAAGATCTAATAATAAATATTGAGTTTTCTGATTATTCCAATTCTTATTACTTCTTGAGATATGTTCTCCCCCTCACTCACTTTGCTGTGGAGATTTAATTTTCTCTGAATTCATTCTTCAACTTCTCTACTCCCCACCTGTCCCAAACCTACTTAGTTTTATTAACCTACTTAGTTAATTCCACCTGCCTACACTAATTATGCTGTTTTCTAGATTCTCCTATTTTAAAAGGGAGGTATTAATCAGGCAAGTTTGGTAGTTCTTTCTTGTAGTAGGCTGTCAATAATGGAAAGCAGCTACATTAGAAATGTAATAGAAATGTCACAAGTGTTTGTAACAGAACAGAGGAAATCTGAGGGGTATGTAGAGAATGGCTAGCACTGTCAGTAGGACCCATGGACTGTCCAGAGAGATTTCCGAAATCCTGTCTGCTTCCAACTCATTTTCCTTTAAACCCATACCACCTAGTGCAACAATTTTCTCTGTGTGCAGTTACTGAATTTATTTTCTTCTCCTTATCTTAGCGAGAATTTCTTTATCATCTTTCCTAGGCATGGTTGTCAGCTTTGTCATCAACTCATGGCTATTTATTTCAACCAAACATACTTGTGGATGTTAGACAAGCATTCAGCCACTTAGCTAAGAAACTCCAGTTCTCCATGTTTCTTAAATATGAGAGGATTAGGTGTCACACAAATTTTAATTCTTAGGTGAAGAAAACACCAGTGTCTCAGAAAATCATCTTTCTAATATGAAAAGGAAATCCAAGTCACAGGCACACACACTTAGGGAAAAGGCCATGTAAAGAGATGGTGACCAGCCAAAACCAACAAAAGAAGTCTTAGGTGTTATCAAGCCTGCAGACACCAGAAACTCACAAAGCACATTTCCTCCTTAAAACTATATTGTGAGTGGTATTTTGTTCCCTTCCTTCCTTCCTTTCTTTCTTCACTTAATCCAAATAAAATCATTTCCATCTATTCTTGCTGTAGTGGGAATTTGTTCTGGAAATACTCATTGAATTTTGTCAAATTCTATTTCTATATCAAGATTACCACTATTTTCTATTTGACCTTGCTAATATAGTCAGTTACATTGATGTTTGGATATTAAATCAACCTTACACTGCTAGAGAGATATCTCTTTGTTGTGATGCATTAGGCTCAGGGTTTACTACAACTGCTCTAAGAGGCTAAGACAGTGTAGAGGGGCACTGGCAGACAGGATGGCACTTCGCAGGCAGCACAGGGTTCCAACAGCATTCTAGTTAATAGTTTTCCTTCTGATCTCTGTCATTATTAGCAGACATTTTATATTTACAGACAGCATAAGTCTCACATTTCATTGTTACAACCCTTTCTTGGACACGGTTATCCTTAAAACATATTTAGACAATAAATTTCCTCTGCTCTTGTCCTCTGATTTGTCTTTTTCTGGTGTTACTTGTGTGTTTGTATAGTTCCCATTCCCATCTGACAGCATTCCTTCTGTCTGAGAGACTTTTGTATTCCCCATAGGATGATACTGCTGGCCACCCC